CCAGGAAGTATTTTCCTTGACATATTAAGGTAAAATATACAGAAAGGAGACAATTTTTTGAATGATATGAAAAATGCATTCTATTTCCTTATTTGAAGTTTGGAAAAACAATGCATAATCTATAGTTAAATAATGCATTTCACTTTTATAAAGCAATACTTCCAGAATTGTAATTTCAAATTTATTGCAAGCATCTGAACTAAGTTCTTATAAATATTCTTTAACAACTGCAGTTTGAAAAGTGTCTATGTGTAAACACCCAGGATTAATGCACTCATCAGTATTTTCATATTGCTAAACATGTGGCTGTTTTCAACATGTGGTTTGGTTTCTCAAACCATGAATAATCAAATTATTTGCATTATAAAACAAATGTAATGATCATTTTAAGAAATATTTCCCTAATAATTGCACTTATTTTCTTAAACAAAATGAAGTTATAATAAAGCCACTTCTTAAGTGGAACTTTAAGAGTATGTGAAAAGAAAATAATAATATTTTAATATAATTGCAAAGAACATTTATTTCAAAGTTCATGGTATCTCTGGAAACTGGAATTCTCCAACAAATTTGATGTCAAGAGTTTTAACTATTAATGGGCAAAATTATTCTGATTTTTCAAATTAGTCAATTCTGAATATCATACAGCATTGTTCTCATATATGTTGCTTTACTGTGTTCTGTTCTGAAGCTACAGGTTAACCCTATAACTCACTGTCATTATTTAGTCACAAAGAAAACCTACAAAGATTATAGGGAGATAGGTCATATTTGCAATGTGTACTGTCTAGCTGATATGGATCCAAGGATCAACTCATTATAATTTTGTATAATGTTAATTATTAATATTCTCTGCTGTCCTTACTGAGTCTCAGGATATTTTTATTTCTGATATATCTTCTAGAAGACAAAATATCCTGAAACATTATTAGTTTGTAGATAGTGGGGTCCTTTTTTTGAGGTATAATACATGATTAATTTATAATGATGTTGTCGGTGATTATTCTTAGTGTAAGAACATGCTAACAGTGCAGATTTGTGAAACTTCCAAGGGCTTTTTGTTTGGATAAAATAAATTGTACTATTATCCCTGTTGGAAAGGCTATCAGTATGTAGTATCCTAAGAACAAATCTAATTTGTTAAATATTATTATACAGCCTCTTGTACATAAATATATATTTCTAAGTAGTATACAAGTATTGAAACACATTGATTTTTTTCTAAATTTGACAAGAATAAGATTTGTCACAATAGTTTAGGTTTCATTAAAAACTGAAGAACGTTAAAAAACACTATTTTCATTTTATAAAGAGGAGCAATAGTTGTGTTAATCCTCACAGTATTGTGTTAATCCTCACAGTATTGTGTTAATCCATGGATCACCGCAGGAAATCTAAATACAGTTCCAATTTAAAAGACAGTTTAACCACTTCATTATTCTGAATTTGTGCCTGAATTTGGGTTGGAATAATAGTCCCAAAAAGTGCTGTCAGAGGAGATAAAATACAGACACAACTCACAGTGTCCATAAACAAGGAGCAGTTACAAGTAATAATTTGAAAACACAATAATATGTAACACTAATCATAAAGAACTTAATTTCTTTCAAAATAAAATAAACTTTGTCAAATGATTAAAGGGTATGTCAAAGATGAAAAAATTTATACAATATTTAATTAATAAAATGAAAATTGTTATTTAAGTACAGAATACTTTTGGTCATCTTATAGAAATTAAATGCAAATTTTTATTTTGCATTATCTTCCAGTCATACTTTGAAATGCATAATTTATTATATCTTTCACTATGCATACATCTATGGGACATTGAACAATTCATTTCTCTTTAAACACAGGCACTTCGATTGTTCTCTGATACTGTATTTTTACGGAATTCCTTCAATTTTTAATAATTATCTATTACAAAATTTTGAAATAATTCATTCTTATATATCTTTGCATGTATGTTTAGAAATATATAAATATTTAGCTGTTCACATAAATAATAAAATTAATCTCTTTAGCATCATTCATAAGAAACTGTTCTTTTATTAGGAGCACATTCTAAGAATATTTTATCTAGATAAACAGTTAACAAATTACAAATAAAAGAGAAACACATCAATGTATGTGTTATTAAATTTTAAAACTATAGAATTTCCCTTAAGAAACAAATGAACAGTATTTTGCCTTATATGCATATTCCTATTTGTAGTTTTTTTGTATTATATAACTTACACCTGAATAACCAAATTATATTTTTCGGTCACAAGAAAATGAGGAAAACAAGACCTAACTCATTTTTTTTTCCATGAACACACATTTTACTTCAATCAAATTTTATCATATAAAGTAACATTTAAAACATGTGCATTCTGTTAATTTATGCCCAATTTATATATATAAACTAAAGAATTAGGAAAATTTAGAAATATTTCAGTAACCAATGTTTGTAACTTTTCTTACTTAGAAATCAAATAAGTTATCCACAAATTATTACCAATTAATCAATTTAACATTGGTTGTCCAAAGAAATAAAAAATAACAATGTAAGCCAACACCATAAGTCTTTTGATAAGTAGGACTACAAGAATTTACAAAATTAAACCTTTATAGAAGATAAAACTTACTGAAATTTCATTTAAAAAATTCTGTATTTTGGCAGTCCTAAACTATGCATTAATTATAATTCACTGGAGCGATACAACTAATATACATATTCTTACTATTTTTAAATATGAGAAATTAAGCCCAAACCTTGTATTTAATAATACATTGTTCTAACTGTATTTTTACATGGGTAATAAAATAGAGATTTTTAATAGAGGAAGGAAGTTATTTTTAAGCCGAAAAAATATCCAGTCTAGTTAAAAGAGTCATCTAAATATCAGGAATAGCATATGAACTCTTCTTGAGGTAACTGACCACTCTGTGCTCATATGTCAAAATTTAAAGAGATTTACATCTGTCATGAATCTACTTGCCTAAACCTAAGCCATTGCACAAACTCTCAGTTAAACTTTTTTGTAATTGAAATACACTTGACATACAAGACTAGTTTCAGGTGTGCAACATAGTAATTTGATAATTACATTACAAGATGCTCACCATGTTAAGTGCAGTTACCATCTGTCACTATACAATGTTATTACAATATTATTGACTCTATTCCTTATATTGTACTTTTTATCACCATGACTTATTTATTTAAGGTTGAGCACTTAACCCCCTTCTGATTATGAGTTATAGTTTCAATGCAAAAACATAGGAAAAAAACAAATCTTTTTAATTTTTTTCTCTATTATTTGGAATTTGTTAACTGTTTATCTGGGTAAAATATTCTTAGAACATGCTCCTAATAAAAGAACAGTTTCTTATGATCAACTAATCCGAAAGTTTCCTCAAAAAGATGAAAAGAAAGGAAAGAAGAAAAAAATAATTGATGGGAACCAACTTCAGGTATATGTAAATTTATCATTCTAAAGGCTAATTGTTTTTCCTCCTAAAGAAAGGAAAAGTCTTAGATGTAAGGAACACCATATTCTGAGTCACAGATGAACAATAATTACATTAATATCTCTCTCCTCCCCTCTTTTTTTATTTTTTTTAGTTTATAATGACCACTGGGATCTTGTTAGAAACATTCTCTTGATAGTTTCAAATAAAAAAAAATTGCTGAAAGGGTAAAATAGAGGTTCTTTAAAAATATTCTATTAGAGATCTACTATCCTATTCTATGCCGTTCCTCCCTCCCTCCATCCCTCTGTCCTTTCTTCCTTTCTTTCTAGTAAAAGTGAATAGGAAGGCAATTAAGGTTTTCATGTATAAGAACGGACTCATAGCCCAGCACTTAATTAAATGTCTTCCCTTTTATATTCCAAAGCATCTGGTAACTAACACATCACATTCTTTATTCAGCCTTAGAGCTATTCTATTGTCTTTTCCACATCTTATATGTGTATCTTCTTTGTTTTTATATTTTTCTTCTTACCGCCAATAGCAATTTATATATTACAATGGCTAAATAAATTCACTTAAGGTTAAAATTATATCATTAAAATTAATTATTTAATTATATACTGCCATCATATATTAATTTATTCACTCAATAAATTTTTGTGTACAGATGTGGTACAGCTTCTTATCAATGTAGAAGAAAAGGTCAGTGAATCAATATGAAATTTTCTTCTTATTAATTTTCTAAATCTATGTGACGGATTTAACTGTCATTCAAAATAAAACATTGATTAATTAAGAAAGAGAAAGTGTTACTGAAAAAGCAAGAGAAAAGAGCAACAGAGGAAGAGGAAAGTAAAAGATACTTTGGATGCATTAAAAGAAATACACGCAGAAGAATCTGTAGGGATGAAACCCTCGTGCAGCAAAAGAGAGACATGATATAGCTTAAAACTGCTGCTCTTACTCTATTTTTCCTACAGATACTGGATTTTTGGTATAAAATTTCTTAGTTTCAGTATTGGAAACTATCACTTTGCATGACAGGCAACTTTTCAACTGTGGCATACTTAAAGAGATGTTATGAGGATAATTGTTTTCACTTTTATTATTTCTCTTAATTTGAAAGGGTTTTAAACTATACCTAGAGCATTTCAAAATATATGAATGCTTATGATAAGCTTGTTATGACTGAATTTGTTGAAGGTAATTTTTAAATTTCTTTCTCCAGACATATTTATGACCAATATATGAGCTATATTTGATTTGTAAACAGCTTTCTTAAGAGGAAGAAGTGATATTTATAAGTTCCTTTATATCTTTGGAACAAAATAATAATAAATAAATGGAATTGAAAATAATATCCATTCTGTTTCTTTTGGAATCTTTTCATTTTACTAATATTTATTTGTTAATATAATTATTAGATTTGCATCCCTCTCAATACAGGGGTAATATCATAGGCATTAAACTTTGAACTTCACTGATGTCACATATTCATTCCTATAAAAAGCATAATTAATAGTGATGTGTGCTATTCACAGATATTGGCTGACCTAGAAAACCATGCATTATTTAAGAATGATCTGGAATGTCAGAAGCTGATTCTGGAAGCAATGAAATATCATCTATTGCCAGAAAGAAGAACTTTAATGCAAAGTCCACGAACTAAACCTAGAAAATCTACAGTTGGAACTCTGTATGCTGTAGGAGGAATGGATAACAACAAAGGTATACAATTCTAGATCTATATATAACACACACCCTGTATCACACCAGGACACACTTTTAATATTGTAATATGTATAATACCATGAAACCTCACATAGACTTGACTTTATCCATTACAATTTAATGCTGATGAAAAATTTAAAGAATACCTCTTATTTTCAGTCTGTCGTTGCTGCTTCTGCTTACTATTCGTCTTTAAATTCTTTACCTCTTGTACGTTAGGTACCAGGCGTCATATGAAATGAAAAGGGAATTTAAAGCACTTAGAAAACACAAGCCAAATAATTTTTTGGATATATTGAGAATTGTATTTCAGTTCTAAGCAAAGGAATTGTAATGTGCCAGGCACATGCTCGCTGAGAGTAATATTATGAAGAAAAGAGTTTCTGCTTTTGAAGAGTTTAGAATCTCATACAGAAGCCCAAACAAATAAATAGAAAATTATAAACGAATGTAGTAACCATGACAGTAATAATTTACAAATTGAATTGCATTGATCAGTTTTCACCTTCAAAAGGAAGGAAATGGTTCATTTAAATATTGAACACACACATTTGAAGGTTTTGTTCTTGCTTTTCTACAGTTAGTAGAAAAATCTCCATTAATATCTGTCCTCCAGCCTTTCTTATGTGGGTCCTAACTTTCTTGAGCAAGTACACAAAACAAATAATGTAATTGTCATAAGGCTGTGCCTAATAAGTGATATAATTTTCCATAACATATTTAATGTGCATGTAAAAAATATGACTGGCAACAGCAGAGAATGATCCATGGCCCTAAAGGGACTTCACTTTTAGAGAATTACAAGGAAGCAGTGACACTTTCTTCAACCATGTGATGTGAGACCCCAAAATGCAGCTAAAGGGAAATCAAAGGGGAATGAAGCATATTCCCATTTTTTTGTTAAGAGATATCTTGTGGTTGTTAGATGTTTTCATTAGCTTTCACTAATTGTTTAAAAAGTTTAACTCTATTTTACTGGGATGTTGATTTCTAGTAATTATATTAAATAAGCACTAGAGTATTAACATATAAAAAAGCATAACTTTCAGTTAAAAAGGGTAAATAACATTACTTTAAGAACTAGGGAAATGGCATTAATCTTCATCTCCCTCCACTTCTGGCTTCTTCTTTAAATATGTTATTACATAAGAGAACATGTCAGAAGTTTTCAAGAGAAGAGATAGTAATTTAAAACTCTCTTTTTTAAAGGATTAAAACAGAAAAGTCTTGGATAAAAAACCTAATAAGAAATAGTCAGAATTTATACTAAAATGCCCAAGAAATATTTTTAAGCTAAAAAAAATCTGTAAACCTGTGTCCATGTTGTCCTGATAAGAATAATAAATACCAAATAATATGTACCTCTTGACATAGTAGTCATCTCTTATAATAGAAACATGTAAACTTTATTGCAACATTGTATAATGTTCATTTTACCTGTAAAAATAAATAACCTCATTTCCAGTGACTTTCAATAGTCATCCAAGTTTCAGATTTTGTAAGTGGGTAGTGATCTTATAAGATTGTCAAATTTTTTAAATTAAAGTATCATTGATGTACAACCTTATGAAGATTTCACAGGAAAAACAACGTGGTTACAACACTCATCCTCATTATTGAGTCCCTCCCATACCCCACTGCAGTCACCATCCATCAGTGTAGTGAGAGGCCACAGAGTCCCTACTTGTCTTCTCTGTGCCACACTGTCCTCCCTGCAACCCCCCACACACTAGGCCTACTAATCATGATACTCCTAAATTCCTTCTCCCTCCCTCCCCACCTGCTCTCCCCTATCCCTCCCCTTTGGTAACCACTAGTCCCTTCTTGGAGTCTCTGAGTCTTCTGCTATTTTCTTCCTTCAGTTTTGTTTCATTGTTATAGTCCACAAATGAGGGAAATCTTTTGGTATTTGCCTTTCTCTGCCTGACTTATTTCACTGAACATAATACCTTCTAGCTCCATCCATGTTGTTGCAAATGGTAGGATTTGTTTCTTTCTTATGGCTGAATAGTATTCCATTGTGTATATGTACCACATCTTCTTTATCCATTCATCTACTGATGGACACTTAGGTTTCTTCCGTATCTTAGAGGTTCCTCAAAAAACTGAAAATAGAAATACTATTTGACCTGGGACTTTCACTCCTAGGAATTTACCCAGAGAAAAAAAGTTCTCAAATACAGAAGGACATATGCACCCCTATGTTTATTGCAGCACTATTTATGTTTGTCAAATTTTAAAGTCAATTGAGTGGCATTTGTTTCTAAGGAACACTGTATTCTACAGAAAGAATGCCCATACAAGATCTATTCTATTCAAAAATATGCACGATAACATTTTTTTTTATGGGAAAAAATAAATAAAAGGAGGAGAGGAGGAGGAAGAACATTTAGTTGAATATCCAGTCAGCCTCTGACTGGGAATGAACAATAAACAATTATTAGTACAAAAGTCACTACACTATTAAGGAACCAAAGAATATGAATAATTTGAATTTTTAGTATGGTGACTTTAATTTACTAAAGCATAAAAGAATATGAAAATATGGAGTCTAGTGAGTTAAACTGTGTTAGCATTGAATTTCTCTAATATTCCACAGCAGTCTTTTGAGACTGAAAAAATTCTTTAAAAATTGAACTCTCTTAGGGATTCTGAATTTCCTTCATTTTAGAATCAAATAAATACTGACAATTTAGATATTGTTATATTTATCCATAAGGTAGAGGCTTAAAAGAATGTGATAATACTGAGGGTTTAAAAAATATTACTGATTAAGTCAGCAGCAAAACAGAAAAAATAATAATTTGAAGGAACCTGTAGGAATTTGTACCACACTCTGAACCCTACAGGATCCAGTCATTCAATACATCCCATACGCTTAGATAGAAATCTAGCACAGTACCAAACTTCGAAAACCGATTTTTCCTGGCAAAATAGAAAAGTATAGAAGCCCAATGTTTTGAGGGATTTAAATAACAATTAGGACATATTCAATATAATCCCTCATTTTGCATTGTGCTTCTACTATTTAAGGAGTGCTTTCTACACTTTATTAACTTGTGTTATATCTAAATAGGCGTTAAGATTTTATCTTAAAATTGTTTTCTTTTCTTGAAACGTAATGAGGAAAACAGAATAAAAATGAAAAAAGAAAAAAATGCAAGAAAAAATACGGCAATATTCAGTGCATTTTTTAAATTATTTACATATTTATATTGTGCCTTATCGAAGGTCTGTGTAAATATTTCATTGATTCATCTTCAGCTCCATAATGACTGACATTCAGATGATATCATATGTGGTTGATAAACTAAAGAGAGAACCCTTGCAGATTTTCTGTAGCAATTATGAAAAATCAGAGCAATGTCTTCTTGCCTTTCCTTTTCACTTACATTCACTTAAACACGCATTAAATAATAATGCTGCTCTTCTGCACATCTACTTCATGCCAACCTCCATGTTAAAAACTTGTGTGCCATGGTGAACATTATGAATATAACCCCTCCCTCACAGAACTACCAAGTTAATCTGGGAAAATAGTAAACAAAATGTTTACTACCAATTAATGTTACAAGAAGGGAATTGCAAATAGGATGTGTATAATGCCTGGGGAGCAAACCTAGTCTAGTCTGCAAAAGTACAGAAGTGCAGAGAAAGTGTTTGCTGTCCTTTTTCCCCCCCCCAGATGAAATCTAAAGAATTATTAGGTATTAGTTTAGCACATTATTGAGTGGGAAAGTAGTGATAAGTCCAGACTGCAGGTTTATCAAAGATGGACGTTTATTTTACATTTGAAGGAATGTGACATCTTCAAAAATGGAGAGAAATCCCTTATGACTGGAATATGGCCAGTGGGGAAATGAAAGTGTGACAGTGGAAGAAAGACACAGTGGACGTCAGTGAGAGACTTAGTAGGATTGATTCTGATTTGAAACTCCAGAGATCTTGGAAGGCAGGTGATGTTCCTAATGGAAAGAGCAGTCTTTGAAATCAGTGAGATGCCTATTCAGATCCAGGAGTATTACTTAAAACCTCTAGTCCATTTTACTATAGTCTAGCACTATATTCCATTTCTAAAAAAATTATAGTGATTAAATGAGATGGAGTATTATCTAAAGAGACTAACCTAAAGTACAAAAAGGCATTCCAACATGTTTGGTACCAAAAGGACTACCAGGGCATTCATTAGTAACCTGGGCTGATCTTCCTAATCATGTTATGGAATAAAGCCAAGCTGTCTAGGCACTTTGGAGACATGAGACTACCGTGTTTCTGTGGAATAATAGTGATATCATACAGAGAGGAGATAAGATGATAAGATATTCATTAATGGTGTTTATATGAATACTATGACATATAAGGTCATTTATACCAATACAAAATACATTCAAGAATGATGAACCAAATGAGAAAAAATAATCAAGCTATAAATGCAATTTCCAGTGTGTTTCAGAAAGCATCATTTAATTTACTGCTATAACAGGGAAGTACTGAAAAATAACTCTTTAAGAATGAAGCAATTTATAGCATAATTTAAGGCTAATTGAAGTATTAATGTATTTATTCATACTTGTTCTACTATGAATGAGGAATGAGGGGACATAGAAAATTAAATAGTTTTTGAAAAGCAATAAATAATAAAACTGTTCTTATGAGGAGAAAATTTTGTTTTAATGTGTCAACTGAAATCAAATGCAGATTTAAATCAATGCAGTAAATTTGCTGTTATTTTGGTAAGAATTTGATTATAAATCACACACTGGAATCATTATAAATTCTTTAGAAAGGTGGCTTGAAGGAGAAACACTAATTGCTTACTCTTAAGTGCCTAGATTCACTTATTTTTAAGTGTGATTCATGGAAGCTATGAAATAAAATTTGGTGCTAGTAGTTAATAGAGAATATTTACATCATTCTGATGTTGACTATTAGATAATTCCTTGGAAATAGAAATAGTTTGGTTTTGTAATGATAGAATATTGTTAAAGATAATTTTT